CTGGAAAGTTTGGGGCTCAGAAAATTCGATAAAAATAGCTTCAGTGGTTAGTATGTGGAATAACGTTCAATTTTCAAAAATATTCAATCGAGATCTTAAATTGAGAGCCTACAAAATACAGCTTGTGCAAGAACTGGAGTCGCTCGRCTTTCCTAAGCGTGAAGAAGATGCGACGTTTTCCAACGAAATTTTATTCAGCGTTGAGGCCCATTTCTGACCCAATGGATATGTAAACTAGCAAAATTACCGCATTTAGGGCGAAGAACAACCTGAAGGGATTCAAAAGCTGCCATTTCATTCACAAAACAAAAAAAAAAACCGTTAGGTGTGGTTTGTGGCCCGTTCCGTTGGAATTATCGGTCCATGTTTCTTCAAAAATAATKCCGGTGAGAACGTGATCGTCAATGGTGACTGTCAGCGCGCCATGATAACCGACAATAAAGATGCCTGAAATTGATCTCGTCAACATTTGGTTTCAACAAGACGGCACCACTTCCCACACATCGCATCAATCAATGGATTTATTGAGAGAATATTTCGGTTAGCAGATAATTTCACGTTTGGGGGGGATCGATTGGCCACCAAAATCGTGTGATATCGTACCGTTAGACTTTTTCCTGTGGGGATATGTAAAGTCTGAAGTCTACGCAGACAATCCCGCTTCCATTCATATAAAATACTTCCAGTAAATAATCTAAAATCATAATTTACGCCATTAGTTCTAATTMTAGCAAATAAATACCAATTAAATGGCTAAATGACGCTCAAATTAATGTAATGTATAATTAATATCAAAGAAGCTGATACYGTAATTCTAATAAATTTCGATGCAGTTGGGCATGGACCTGCAAAAGTAAAGTTTCAGCACGCGCTAACACATCAAACTTAACTCGACTCGGCATGGTTAAGGCTTGGCAAAAAACGATTTTGATAATATGGTTTGCATTACTTCGCGCAAAATCGGTGGAGACAGCAATATATACAGAGCTTACACAACCTATACAATTCTATAATGATTTCCTTGTGCAAATATATGCCGTAGAGAAGTTTGAAAGCTGTATGATTTACGGAGAGTTACGAAAGAGTGAAACCCTCAACTTGTTCCTGCGTGTTGTCGTCGAAAATTTCCAAAAACCGATTATTATTCAAAACGCAAATACGTCTTACGAAATTAGAAATTTATACAGCAGTGATATACTCATCATCGCACGGTTGGAGTATCTTAAAGTGGAACTAAGGAGGCTTGCCAAGGTGCTCAATCACATACGACAAAAACGTATAATACTCATCGCAGCTGAGCCTGACCTTATGTCGCAACGCGATCAGTACCTAGCGCAACTTTTCCAATTATGTGAAGTAGAAAAAATGCTTAACGTGGTCGTAATCTTTGCTGATTTTCCTCAGACGAAAGTTTTTTACAGCTATACAATTTTTCCGCAATTTCATTTAGAAGAGAAAACGCTGGGCTCCGGTGGTGTAGAGGTTTTTCCGCGTCGCTTGAAAAATCTACATGGATATGGCATACGCTCAATGCCCGATCAGATCCTACCGCACTCATTTGCTTACGAGCTGGATGGACGTGTACATGTGGGCGGTTATTTGGTGAAAMTTTTGCAAACATTTGCAACAAGCATAAATGCAACACTATTCTATCCGTTACCAATAAAGTTAAAAAATTACGATCCAGTGGGCATGATCAAATTGACACAAGATAATGTGATCGATATACCTCTATTTAGCAAGTTTTTGTTGGAAATCCGCGATTTAAATGAGGGGTCGAGTCCGTTTGATATCAGCGGTCTTTGTCTCATGACACCAATTAAGTGGTGCCGCACAATACAGAGTTTTTACGAAGTCTACACGAATGAAAATTCTTTTCAAATTGTTATARTCTGCTCTATTATTACGATGACTTTGTGCTATTGCTGTCGGCGGTTGCAATACAAGCTAGATGGCAGACGTTACCATGCGACCGTACTGTCGACGTTCACTGATCCAGATTATTTGGCTTGGCGTTTTGAGTCGAGCAAACCTGCTGGGATACCACGTTTGGTTAGTTTGCGAATTTTAGTTTGTTCCTCCTTGTTGTGGGCTTTATGTATCCACACCCATTTTTCGGCAAATCTAAATACATTTGTGACCAAACCAGGTAAGGTGCAGAGCCCCAAGAATTGGGTTGACTTCAATAGACATGATTTCAAATTATTG